TTCAGAATTTCTCCCAATAACTGCCATTTTTTTTAAACATTCTCACACATGGTGGCTTCTCTAAACACTTCAAAGTTGACTTGTTCAACTTCAGAACAGAGCCGGATTATCCTTTAGGCTAATATATTTTGCAGCCTAGGGTCCCTCAAGATTTTGTAAAGCAATGATTTCGATTTCTTAAATGTTATAACTTCTAAGTAGTTTCATAAAATGGATTGAGCATTATTCGTATTTATTTGAATTTGCAGGAAGCAAAGCAAAGAAAAGAATATTTTAGTTTGTGCGATTGTGTTTCAAGTAGATAACATGTTTGATTTTAATTCAGAAGGTTTAAATCTTAGAAAATTGAGCTTTTAAATTGATCATCAAGTCAATACGAACGATCCTTTCGCTATCTGCATAGTATGTACTTCGCACAAGGCTACATACATTTTTGAATTCAGAGTTTTCCTTCACCTAGACCGGTTTACAACCAAGAACCCTGTCTATCTTACTATTTACCCATAGCTGAGGGGAGGGGGGAGAAGAGTTGGATTCATACCTTTCCCAAGTGTATTATAGTACGTAAGTGAATGTAACGAACCCGACTAGAATTCGATCTCGGCTCTCCGATTCCTCAGTCCGAGTCACTATCCATTATTTGCCTCTAGGTTTTAGAACTTCTAAATACTTTCATAAACTCAAATGATATCAAATTGACAAACTCATTTATGTTAGCAGTTTTACTGTAATAATGCTAGTTATAAAAGAAATCTGTTTTTTTTTTAATACGGTTTTGCTGAAATATGTACTAACCTGCTTTGCAATAAATAGTAAAATAAATGTATTTCTTAAAGAATGTTTTTGTTAACAAACAAAACATAGCTATTCTAGTTTTATTTCAAGAATTTACAATAGTTTTACTCCAAGCTATGTAAATGTCGCTAAAATATATCACAAATAAAAAAAAAAATATTCAAGACAGGTGGGGGCAAGTTAGAAGGTGGCTCCGTCTGAGGGGTTCTCTCCATAATTTCATTAGCCTAGGGACGCCCTAATGTGATAATCAAAAGAGTTATCTTTCCTTTTTATCCTCATGATTTTCTGCTGTTTCTTTAATTTCTATTTCATTTGGTTCGATTTTTACGGGTTATCAACCCTTTATGTATTATTTAAAGCGGCAACATAATTTGGATTTTTTTTTTTTTTTTTGCAAAGGAATATTTCATTGATATCGTCTCGTAAATAACAATTATTTTTCCTGATACAAATCTTACTATTTTACCCATAGCTAAGGGGGATTAGATATTTGCGCATAAGTGAAAGTAAAGAACTCGTCAGGGATTCGACCTCGGCTCTCCGATTTCACATTCCGATCCATTATCCATTACACCACTCATTTCCTTTTTTATGGTACAACACATTCATTATTACCATTTTAATAGTAACCCTCTACATTGAGGGGCTCTTTAGCCTTGTATTGAGTGAACTTTAGTATATAAAGAAACTAGGAATTCTTCGACATTTGTTGAATCATCCCCATTCCCCCAAATGCCAAAAGGAAGTTCGACGAAGACACCATTTTCCAAATAAGTTCCATTTTGGAGAACATGCTCCCACATAGTTGCTTTCTTGAACCCTTCAAGTCACGAGCCAATCTTCATTTTTCTTCTCAGTTCTCACAATTTTTATGTCGAACCATTTTTTTTCCCATTCGGATCACAATCTCATTCAGTGTTACACTTTTGTCGATTGTATTCTATTGAGTGGCTTTCGAACATTGTATTAAACGTTCATAAAATTTTTTTAAAAATCATATTTTTGCCTGGCCTAATACTACCAGAGACTGAACAAACGCTCCTGGAACAAAAGCTACCACGACTTGGAATTAAGTGGTATTTTAAGGAGGACTTCAAATATATCAGATAATTATGGAAAATCTAATACTCATGCACCTTAGCATTTCTGCTCCAGGGCTAAGTCCTTATTATTATTTTTGTGTGCGGTATCATCTTGCCAGAGAATAATTTTAAGTGCCTAATTACCAAGTCCCCACCGGGGTCTATAAGTAAAAGAGACACTGTAGGAGAGTGGCCAATGCATATTTACGACGTTTCGTTTAGATGGAGAGGGTTTTGCGGATGATATGTGCAATTCCACACAAAGAAATCTTTTGTAGCCCCGAATTTCTGGTGTATCCATGAATTTTACTCGCATAATTTTCGGTAGCCATCTTTATCATACCCAATGTTCATAATCAGAATAGGAATAATCTTAGTGTTAAGTTTGTACATATTTGTCACTTAGATTGGTAGGTCCTTATAATTTGACAATTTTTGAATTTTTTTTTTTTTAGAATCAATGGAGTTCTGTAGGCAATTCATATCAATTAGTTGGCAGGTTCCTTTTTTGAAATCTTTCATGACTAGGTTTGGTCTATTTGATTTAGTTTTTCTGTCTGGGAGAACTGGGAAATTCCACATTAACAAGATATTTATTGGCATGTCAGTTCGAACTATGGTATTGAAGTGCCGGATATATAGTACTAACTCCACCTGAATGATGTCAAAAATGGTGATGCAGTGACTATTATTATTATTATTAGTAGTAGTAGTAGTAGTAGTATTTACATCAGATAGATAGATAGATAGATAGATAGATAGATAGATAGATAGATAGATAGATAGATAGATAGATAGATAGATAGATAGATAGATAGATAGATATGGATCTTAGAGAGTGTTATATATTATTATTGTGGTACTATTATTATTATTATTATTATTATTATTTACATCAGACAGATAGATAGATAGATAGATAGATAGATAGATAGATAGATAGATAGATAGATAGATAGATAGATATGGGTCTTAGAGAGTGTTATATATTATTATTGTGGTACTATTATTATTAATATTATTATTATTTACATCAGATAGATAGATAGATAGATAGATAGATGGATAGATAGATAGATAATGTGTGTTATATACTGTACCTAATGAATAAAAAGGGCGCTATAGGAGAGTTGCCTATGCACATTTGGGGTGTTTCGTTTAGATGGGGAGATTTTGGAGGGATGATATGTGCAATTCCACACAAAGTAAACTTAGATGCTGATATGTCCAGGAATTTTACTCACATAGTTTTCAGTACCCTTCTTTATTATACGAATTGTCTCTAATCAGTACAGGGATATTCGTAGTTTTCAGTTTCCGCGTCGTTACTTCGATTTGCAGGTCCTTATAAATTGATAGTTTTTTGAAATTCTTTTATAGAGACATTGGAATCCTGTGAGCATGTCAAGGTTCCGTTTTTGAAATATTTTAGGATTGTGTCTGGTCTGTTTGGATTAATTATCTTGTTTGTAAAGATTGTGAAATTCCACATTATATTCACTTCATCACAGTTTGTGACATCATTCAGAATTATAATAATAATTATTTTTCTCTTCATTATTTCCTTTCACTTCTCTTGTGTACACATTTCCTTCCGGGTACCAACCAGAGAACTAAGGTAAAAAATGGCTACATGACATCCACTGATCATTTTTGTAAAAAAACAAAAAAAAAAAAACAAAGACCACGCATCTTTTTCATAGATAAAGTTCTTTGTTATGTCTGAGCTGTGCCTGTGAGTACATTTTTTTTGTATTTCTTTAAGATACGGTCTACCAGAAATCCCTTCAATGAGTCTATCGGGACCTTTTGCAATCAATCCAACGGCTCTAACTACAATTGTAATTATTGATGTCCTCATGTGCCATATTTTTAGATGTCCACTAAGATGTTCACTTTTTTTGTAGAGGGATAATTTTGTGACGGTCTTCATAGATACATTACAAACGGCAAGGATTCCTATGTTAATAAGAAAGCACATTCTGTTCTTGTGATCTTTGATTACGATGCCTGGGCGATTGTCTTCGATTGTTCTTCCTGTGTAATGTAATGTCCTATAAAATTGGTTCTATCTTTGTAACAGGATCTGGGTGATGTTCATACAATATTCTTGCAGTTTCCTTCAAGTAGAAATTGCAGATTTTCCAGTGTATATATTGACCCATTCTATCTTGCTGTGTTTTATATTCAATGGATGCTAACATCGTGCAACCGGATACAAGATGGTTATTTGTTTCTGGGTATTTATAACAAAATCTGCATTTATGGTTAACAAAATGTTACAGTATGTGCATTTGGCAGTTTCTAGTTAGCAAGCATGTGTCCTGTTCAGCAAGTATAACACCTTCTTCTTCTTCTTCTCCTCCTCCTCTTCCTCCTTCTCTTTCTTCTTCTTCTTCTTTTCCTTCTCCTCCTCTTCCTTCTCCTCCTACTCTTTGTTCTTCTTCTTCACCACCTCCTTTTTCTTTTTCTTTTTCTTCTTCTCCTTTTTCTTCTTCTTCACCTCCTTGTTTCTTCTTCTTCTTCTTCTTCTTCTTCTTCTTCTTCTTCTCCTCCTCCTCCTCCTCCTTCTTCTTCTTCTTTTCCTCCTCCTCCTCCTCCTCCTCCTCCTCTTTCTTCTTCTTCTTCTCCTCCTCCTCCTCCTTCTTCTTCTTCTTCTTCTTTTCCTCCTCCTCCTCTTCCTCCTCCTCTTCCTTCTCCTCCTCCTCTTTCTTCTTCTTCTTCCTGATGGTGGCGGTGGTCGTGTTTGCGCACCAGTCTTATAGTCAAGAGAAGCAGGAAAGAAAGGACAAATGCAAAATAGAGCAAGAATCAAAAGGCAAAAAAATGAATGGTAAAGGGACAAAAACTGCTTAGAGCAACAAAAGCCAGGAAGTTGGGGAAAGCCATAATCGCCCGTGTCCTGAAAAATCAAAGCATATAAAAGAAGTAAGTAATGCTTTTCACTGGCGATTAAGCGTTATGTTCTTTTGTGCGTAATGTATATGCTTTTAAATATGCGTATAGTCTTTCATTAGGATATGTGAATATGAGTCTACGTACGTATGTATGTGTGTACTGGCGTGAGTTTGTGGGCAAGTGTGTGTGAGTGACCGTTCCAGTACTTGTACGCCATCGTATTTAAGACTTTATGTAAAAATACAAGCAAATAAAATAAAAATCGGTAATGACAAAGTCTGGGCTCGCTGATAAATTAGAAAGAAAGAAAGAAAGAAAGAAAGACGTGAAAAGGGGTGAAAGGCATGCAAAAGAAAGAAAGAAAGGCGTGGAAAGGGGTGAAAGGCATGCAAAAGAAATAAATAAATAAAGAAAGAAAGAAAGAAAGAAAGAAAGAAAGAAAGAAAAGAAAGAAAAGAAAGAAAGAATGAAAGAAAGATATGAAAGAGAGAAAAAAGAAAGAAAGAAAGAAAGAAAGAAAGAAAGACGTGGAAAGGGGTGAAAGAAAAAAAAAGACTGGAAAGGCGTGAAAGAGAGCAAAAAGAAAGAAATAAAGAAAGAAAGAAAGAAAGAAAGAAAGAAAGAAAGAAAGACTGGAAGAAAGATATGGAAAGAGAGACTAAAAGAAAGAAAGAAAGAAAGATAGAAAGAAAGACGTGGAAAGGGGTGAAAGGCATGCAAAAGAAAGAAAGAAAGGCGTGAAAGGCATGCAAAAGAAATAAATAAATAAATAAAGAAGAAAGAAAGAAAGAAAGAAAGAAAGAAAGACTGGAAAGAAAGAAATGGAAAAGAAACTAAAAAGAAAGAAAGACTGAAAGAAAGATAGAAAGAAAGAAAGAAAGAAAGAAAGAAAGAAAGAAAGAAAGACGTGGAAAGGGGTGAAAGGCATGCAAAAGAAAGAAAGAAAGGCGTGAAAGGCATGCAAAAGAAAGAAAGAAAGACTGGAAGAAAGATATGGAAAGAGAGACTAAAAGAAAGAAAGAAAGAAAGAAAGAAAGAAAGAAAGAAAGAAAGAAAGAAAGAAAGAAAACGTCAGGTTAAAAAATATCAGATACTGTTAACGCTTCGTATTTAGACATCATGCCAACTTTCATGTTATGTGGCACAAGGCCTTTTTTTCAGTGTGGAACATTAAATTTACATACGAAAAGGAAACAAATATTGTCCAGTTCGCTGGAGACGGATCTTGTCGAAGCAATAGATGATTTGGAAATAAAAGAAAGAATTCATGTTAGATTTGAAAGGATATCAGACATTGTTAACGCAATTCTGATAAAATGAAATATTATAAACATTAAAACAGGCACAAAAAAGACAATAGATCATTTGATAACACAATGTAAAAGTGGACGTGCGATATCTTTTTATTCCGAGCTAAAAACAAAATGGCGTCACAACGAAATCAGAGTTTATAGACAGCTTGCATTGACTCGTAATGCCCGATATTAGAAGTTAAGCCTATTAAACGAAAAACCAAAGAGACGTAGACTGAAATTTGGAAATAAATCAAAGTGAATTTTGATTAGTTTTTTTTTTAGCATTTTTTAAATTGATCTTGGATTTTTTTTTCTTCTTATTACGCATAAAGAAACTGTGGCAAGTGAACAGAATAATCCTCTTCCTATAAAGAAACATAATAAAAGCGTCTCCCTCAAATGTATGTTTCAGCGATCAGAGGAAAGTATAAATAGCAATGGTAATATTATCTGTCTCTTTATAAGGAAACATTCGGTATGTATTGACCGAACAGCCATTGCTACTATCGGTTGAAATGTATAAAATTTTTCTGTTAGCATAACATAAACTTTCAGAAAAACAGGTTTTTTCAAGACATTTAACTGTTATCGCTCTTTCCCGTATTGCTGGAGACTTCCTTCCTAACATTTTGTTCGAAGTCGTGTGAGACGTGTAGACGAAATATAGGATTCAGTTTAAAATTCCAATCATCTGAAGAAGACCGATGCGTACGACGGCCGAAACGCCGTGAATATGACAATAAAGATGAGGACAACAGTCTGAATAATGTACCTAATTACAATACTACTAACTAAATAAAAAAAATAGTCATCTTCATTTTCAACGACTGGAGCTCAACCGGAAGGCATATTTTTGGCTCCATGTTTAAACAAATCAGTTTCGTTGGTGTTTTTCTTCTGAAAAAAAAAAACGTTTCAAAGACTGTTTTCAACATTGTTTCTGAATGTTTTGTCACCTCTGACATGTTCTCAGGATCGAAACTAATGGGAATCTGTAAGTGCTAAATTTCGTAAGTATGGACAATATGGAAGAATTCGATCTCATTTGTCTATCTGCACAGTGTGTTTTTGCATTGTCATGCTGGACAATAGCATACTCTTTGGGAACCAAAGGAAACTTACATTTAACCTGTGGCCGTTTTTTTTTTTTTTTTTTTGCGAAGAAATAGATTCATACCTTTCACAAGGTTATTTGTCATAGGAGGCACGGTGGAGTAGTGGATAGCGGCTTGGATTGAGGAATCGGAGAGCCGAGTTCAAATTCCAGTCGAATCCATTACTTTCACTTACGTGAAACCTTGGGAAAGGTGTGAATCCTCTTCTTCTCCCTCCAGCTATGGGTAAATAGCAGGACAGACTAGGTTCTATAGCATTGGATGGCAACTAGTCTAGGAGAAGGAAAACTCTGAATTCAAACCTGCTCTTTAAAAAATCCAAGGAGCGTCTGCATCGGCAACCGGCGGCTTCTGGTCGTTCCTGTCTCTGCGTCTGTGGGAATCCCGCAAGCAAGAACGTTATTCGAGTAAGCCTGGGTACCCTACTTCTGAAGAATCTTCTGACTACGAATGAGTCAACAGGAAGAAGACGGCTCAATCCGCCCAGGGTGAATGCCGCATCAATACAATACAATACAAGGTTATTTGTGAGAAAGTGAAACCGGAAATTGAACGTAGCATCCCGAGCTCACTTTCGCCGCCGTCAACAAATCCTCTACGCGCAAGTCCTCGTATAAAGGAATAATTACCTGTAATTCCTTTAAAAAGGAAAGAGGAAAAAGAAAAAATACCGTCTTTATGATTTGAGACAGTGTAGCCATCTACAATGTATTGATTATTTCCTATACAAGGCTTGTTCCGACATTCATTATAACCTTTTCAGTAACCACAGCGACTGTATGTAGGCTACAATGCAATGTCACGTGCGAGACGTTTATTTGCCTTCCGAGCAATGTCCGTAAGACAAGCACATACATGAAAAATCGAAGTCTCCCACACCCTGCACATAAAAGTGATCGATGGAGACATTCTTATACTGTGCTACAAAGATCGAAGAAACAGTTTGTTTTATTATTTCCACCTGAGAGTGTAGCGAGTAATTGAATAAATTTTATATTCAACTGTTTCAGAGAAGAAATCGAATTCTGAACAGTATGTGCGTAGAAGCTTTGTATATATATATATATATATATATATATATATGGCTCATTGAATATTTTAGACAAATTATTGTGTACTTATTTTCAGTAGGATGCTCGGACAAGCTTCTTAGTATCCTTATCAAAAGAAGTGATAAAATTACTATGTTGATACATATTCATTTATTCCTAGTACTTTCGACATTAGCACAATGGCATCATCAGGGTGTTGTTTTTTCTTCTAAGACAAAATCGTTCTGTTCATCTGAAAGTTGATGGTGTAATGGTTAGCAAGCTTGCCTGAGTAGTGAGTTAGATCCTTACTGGGGGCCCCATTTTTGCATTGTTTTTATTAGACCATAGAGTATATACATATATATATATATATATATAAACGTCAAGGGAGATAACTAAGTTCTGAAATATCCATATGTCTTTTAAAAAGTTTTAGTTAAAACACACACACACATATATATATATATATATATATATATATATATATATATATAGAGAGAGAGAGAGAGAGGAGAGAGAGTACCGCCAGGCGGTGTAATGGTTAGCAAGCTTGTCTGAGTAGTGATTCCAATCCTCACTGGGTGCCCCATATTTCTGCCTTTTGCTTGGAAAATCACTCTCTCTCTCTCTCCCTCTCTCTCTCTGTCTCTTTCTCTCTCTCTCTCTCTCTCTCTCTCTCTATATATATATATATATATATATATATATATATATTCCATATACAGTGTATCACAAAAGTGAGTACACCCCTCACATTTCTTCAAATATTTAAGTATATCTCTTCATGGGACAGCACTGAAAAAATTACCTTTTGACACAATGAAAAGTAGCCTGTCTGCAGCATATATAACAGAGTTAATTTCATTTCCCCTCAAAATAACTCTAAATATAGCCATTAAAAGCTAAATCCCTGGCAACAAATAGAGTACACCCCTAAGAAACTACACCCCTAAATGTCTAAATTGAGTACTGCTTTTCATTTTCCCTCCAAAATGTCATGTGACTAATTAGTGTAACTATGCCCATGTGTTCATGGGGAACAGGTGTATTCAAATTTGTAGAGCAGCTCTAACACTCTCTCTTACCGGTCACTGAAAGTTCCAACATGGCACCACATGGCAAAGAACTCTCTGAGGATCTTAAAAAACGTATTGTTGCACTACATAAAGATGGCCAAGGCTACAAGAAGTGGCTAAGATCATCCAACATTTTAAAAGAGCAGGGTCCACTCAGAACAGGCCTCGGGTAGGTCGTCCAAAGAAGCTGAGCGCACGTGCTGAGCGTCACATCCAAATGCTTTCTTTGAAAGATCGGCGTAGGAGTGCTGTTAGCATTGCTGCAGAGATTAAAGAGATTGGGATTCAGCCTGTTAGTGTCCAGACCATACGCCGCACACTACATCAAATTGGTGTGCATGGCTGTCACCCGAAGTGGAAGCCTCTTCTGAAGGCAATACACAAGAAAGCCCGCAAACAGTTTGCTGAAGACATGTCAACAAAGCCCATAGATTACTGGAACCATGTCCTATGGTCTGATGAGACGAAATTTAATTTGTTTGGTTCTGATGGCCTTAAGCATGTGTGGCAGCGACCAGGTGAGGAGTACAAAGATAAGTGTGTCATGCCTACAGTCAAGCATGGTGGTGGGAATGTCATGGTCTGGAGCTGCATGAGTGCTGCAGGTATTGGAGAGTTACATTTCATTGAGGGGAAACACGAACTCCAACATGTACTGTGAAATACTGCAGCAGAGCATGATCCCCTCCCTCCAGAAACTGGGTTGCAGAGCAGTGTTCCAGCATGACAATGACCCCAAACACACATCCAAGACAACCACTGCTTTACTGAAGAGGCTGAGGGTAAAGGTGATGGACTGGCCAAGCATGTCACCAGTCTTGAACCCAATAGAACATCTTTGGGCCATCCTCAAGCAGAAGGTGGAGGTGTGCAGAGTCTCAAATATCCGCCAGCTCCGTGACGTCGTCATTGAGGAGTGGAAGAGCATTCCAGTGACTACCTGTGAAGCTCTGTTAAACTCCATGCCCAGGAGAGTAAAGGCAGTTTTGGATAATGATGGTGGCCACACAAAATATTGACAGTTGACATGTTGTATGTTAATATTGACAACTTTTTCCTAAGGGGTGTACTCACTTTTTGTTGCCAGGGATTTAGCTTTTTAATGGCTATATTTTGAGTTATTTTGAGGGAAAAATAAATTAACACTGTTATATATGCTGCAGACAGGCTACTTTTCATTGTGTCAAAGTGTCATTTTGTCAGTGTTGTCTCATGAAGAGATATACTTAAATATTTGAAGAAATGTGAGGGGTGTACTCACTTTTGTGATAGACTGTATATATAATGCCAAACTATTTTATAATTTTTTTTAATATATTTTAATAAAACATACAATGGTTGCAGAGTGGGCCCATTCAAGAGAGGATATTACAATTATACTACCTCTTTTAGGCTCGAGAGCCATAGAAATGATTGGCAAATTGTGTTTGGAGGTTAAAAGAAGTTAATGGTTGAGTCCCACACAAAAGTGGAAAATATACAAAAGAATAAAGCCAGGCAGAGTCTACAGAAATACTGTAAGCTATGCCAAAAGGAAAAATTGACGATCGCTACATATCCTAACAAGGACGAACTGCAAAATGAAAGATCGGAGGTGTTAGCTAAGTACAGACACCTTGGCAAATATTTGTTGTGCATGGACAAACTTGGGTGAAAAAAATTTTCCCCTTCCCCGTTTCCCCACCACCTAACTTCCGGTGTTCGTATCTAAAGGTGGTGGTGTAAACTAACATCTTTCATCCTACCTGC